TCAGCGACCAAAATGTGTTTGGTTCATGCTGCTTATTGCGTGCTCCATGTCGTTTCGGTTGTTGTGCGTTTTGTGCTCCTTGCTCTCTTTATTTGGTTATACTCGTGCAGGTGGCAGGAAGGGTATATTTGTTTGTGTTATGTGTGAACAGCCTCACTGACTTCAACTTTTGCTTTATTGCTTTTCTGTTTGTTTGCATGCATCACACTAGAATCGAGTTAGCCCTTTGATTTCATGTGCTAGAGTGAGACAACTACTTAGTCTAGCTATGCACCACAGGACTGTTAAAGCTAGGTATGAAACTGTTAACAACATAGTGATGGTAATGTTAGCAGAATAGTAAATGTATTGAATGGCATTGGCCTGCATATATTCTTATATATATATATATTTCTTATTCTAATATATATACGCTCGCTTGGCAATGGCAAATATTGAATTAACACTCTTATTTATTTTCGAATTTGTTCTACCCATCTACTACCCCATTAATGGCCAATCTAATTATATCTTTTGGAATTTCATAGCTTAAGCCCCCAAATATCGCTGTTCACATTCCCTTCATTCATAGGCAATTGAATTAAACATGTTCACCCTTCTCCCATTACGAACGAGTATTGTCAAGTCCAAACCGCCCGCTTTCAATTGTTTGACTTGTTTTGTTTTCGCCTGGTGTTGTCTTTATACGCCGCATTATAGCGCGTGTTTTCCGTTTTCCGCCTTTTGTTTGTGCTGGCTGCTTGCGGCACACAGCTGTGAATAAGCAACAAGACTAACGAGAGCTACAACATCCACGCACACACAAACACACACTTAACATTGTACTTAAATGTCTCGCCCTGTGGCTATGCTTATTGTGGTGTAAATGAAATTACAACTGCGCTTAAAGCCGAAAATCCAATTAGAAAAAGCGCGTTGCGCCGGGGTTTATCGCAGATGTTTCCTTCTTTTTATTTTTTTTATTTGCCGCTATTGTTGTTACTGTCGACATCCGGCAAAACACGCACCGCATGCCAGCTGTCTACCGAACGAGATTCATGCGTGACAGCCTAGACACAATAAACAAATGTTAAATGCCCTTCTAGGTAATTCTCAAAATGGTGCAGGGTTCATAGATGTGAGCTATCGATA